TGGAAAATATGAATTGTTCCTGATTTATGGAATCATGGAATTTAGTAGGTGTGCAGGTGGGTGTAAGGTTCTATGGAACCTACACATTATGGAGTGTTGGTTGGAGGGAATAATATGATTTTTGACAAACGTTTATTGGAAGGGTGTTGTTGGAGGAAGTTATCGTTACTGCGGGCTCCTCTGCTTTGTGCTCAAGATAAGTCTTTACTTGGTGTATAGGTGGGTGTATGGTTCTGGGGAACCTACACATTATGGAGAGTTTGGTTGGAGGGATTAATATGGTTTTTGAATAAAAATATGTTTTTAAACTACTACTGTTTAAAAAGAAAAGATTTGTATCTCTTCACTGGTTTTATGGGAACACACTAGATAATCTATTCTGATCTCCTGAACCCAGTCATCTGAAATATTTCTCTAAACTGAAAGCTCATTGTCCGTTACCACATGAAATATCAGTAGGATCTCTGCTCAGCATAAAAATCTGTAAATGTTCGGAAACAATAAGGAAATATATATTTATCTGTATCTGCACGTTCATTAGCATCATCTGGTAGTTCTGTATTACTGAGCTTTCCAAAGCTCACTCTATTACTCAACATTGCAGGTTAAAAGAATTGTACTAGTGCAGCTATCGACTTCAGTAAGGAAGTTTTTCCAGTGCTGTTTGCAGAGTATGGTACATGTGATTAGGGGGCATGTAATTGTATTTTGTTTTATATACGAATATGAAAATCTATTTTATTTCGAATATTGATAACTTTTATTTTGTACTCATAAATGATTTTATGAGTTTACAAGTATTAAGAAAATTTTCAAATTTTCCGCTATTTTTACAATGGGTCGCTTCGGTGGCCCTAATATGACACTCCAGATTGGACCGGGTTATCCGCATCGGTCTGAGGGGGTTACAACGATTTTTGCATGCATAATTGCTCCAATTTTACTCACAAAGAAGTGATTATTTTTTCTTTAAACACATCCTGAAAGATTTGATTTAATACGTGTGAATGGGTCTGAGATAGGGCCTTACGATTCTTACATTTTTATTTGTTCGTTCAATCTGACGATGTCTTTTTATCAAACTTCCAATGTACCATCTAAGTCGAACTATGCAAGAACGTCCTGAATCTATACTTGCCATAATAAGAACATGATGTTTCGATTCAATAACAAAATACTATACTTCATTGTTGCCATAATCTTAAACCCGAAGCTCTGGTACCAATTTGTTATAATATCAGAACGATTATCAACAAACAAATAAACACGATAACAAAAGAAAAACAAAGAACACCAAGATTTACGTGGAAAACCCAAAAAGAAAAAACCACGAACAGAGGAGAATGATTTCACTAATATAAAGGAAGAAAATGCAAGATGATTTTGGAGAAAGAAAAACTTGATATCTAACTCTTTATCTTTAGCATCTATTTATAGGGATAGATACTTGATTACAAAGGAAACGAAATAAAATAGAAATCTAACTTAATAAAGTTCTCTACTTTTAATCAAACTTAGTTTCTTACTTTTCTAAATTTATATATTAATTAATTTATGCCACTTTGAATTCGAGGCAAACTCTAACATAATTAATACATTCTTTCTATGTAAAAACCTCAACGAAAAAAATGTGCTTTAAGGATTGTTAGACTTTATTTAATAGGTGATAGATTGAGCTATGTCTATCCATGTTGGTGTTGATTTAAGGGTGATGAAAATAGGCTTTCCACAAAGAAAATGAGAACAAACTGGCTTATGAATGACACAATTTGCCAAACACATTGGTGCATAGACAATCCATATATCTTATGATATTGATGATAGTGAGTTGCTATGAAATGATAACTATAATATCTGATTTTCAATAAGGATAGTTTAGTTAGGATATCAAACATCACATTAATTATTGAAGTGAGATTCACTCTTAGGGTTGTTATTTTTTAAAATTGGTATTTAAAGAATTTTTACTCCTTATTTAAATGATTAATTTACTCACATACATTATTTTTAATATTATTTATAAAAATAACACCCTTCCAAAATTATTTATGAAAAGAACATCAATTTCTACCACATAAGACAAAGATAAAGATGTATCCTATTAGTTGTAATTTTAAAAGACACATTTTTACCATACACGTCATCCTTGTCAACAAGTTTCTTGATTAACAAGAAATGCACACTTAGGGTGAAATTTAGGAGAATGTGGATTTATTTTATACACTTAGGGTGAAATTAAAAAAAAATCGAGAGAGAAATAGTCACGTGCTATGTGGGGAAAAAAAGGGGTCAAAGTCTTTATTAGTTGTCAATATTTTTTAGCGACGACAATTATTGATGACTTTGATTGGATTATAATTTTGTTCACTACAAAGGTCAAATTAAAAAGAAATTAAAATTATAAAACCAAAATGAAAAAAAATAAAAAAAATTATAGTTAAATTATATAAGTCAAATCCTTATAAATAGTGATATATTTATATATAAAAATTCTCTAAATCTTAAACCCTAAACTCAGTTCTCCTCTTGGCGAGAAGATATGCAACAATATTAGCCTCTCTAGTAATACGGTGAACCGAGACATTCTTAGATTGAACGATTGAAGCTATTTCCTGTAGCAATGCGATACCACAACGAATCATTAAGCTGTCTACGAACTGAAGATACATTACGTTTATCAAACTTTTATTCCGACCAACTAAGAATCCTGAGAAAAGCCCTCGTAGGCAGTCTTGGAAAGCATTCTATTCAGGCTCTCCCCTACAATGTTGAAAAGCATGGGAGAAAGAGAGCATTTTCGTCCGAGACCTCACGCTATCTTAAAGCGATCTATTCGAACCCTATTTACTAGTATCGAGATCGAGGTTGTAGAGATGCATTTCATGATCCAATCATACCATTTGTTACCGAAATTCATTTATTTCGTAGTTCGAATGAGGAAAAGCTAATCAACTGTGTCATAGGCTCTCTTAAAATTTATTTTGAACACTATACCCTTCACTCCTCTTTTGACCATATCATCGATGCATTCATTAGTTATGAATGAGCAGTCTAGTATTTGTCGTCCTTGAATAAAAGCAAATTGAGTCATGCTGATAATCGAATCCGCACAACACTTTAATCTGCTTACAAACACCTTAATCCTACAAGAAACTTAATTTTATTTAAATATTTATATTTTTAAATTTTGAGAGATATAATCGATCAAATATAATTTTTGTATAAATCAAATTATTTATTGAATGAGTTGTCACATAAAACAATGAACACTCTTATCTACATGATGAAAATAAATAATTTTGATAGAATGTTAATTTGGTAAATAAAATTAAAATATGTAAATTGAATTAATAAAATTTAGGGTAAAGTATATAAGTGGTCACTGAACTTTTTAGATGCTTGCATTTAGGTCCCCAACTTTTAAAACTTGCAATACAATCACCAAACATTTAGTTCACTTGAAATACGGTCCCTGACGCAACGATCGTCTCACTGTCGTTAGGGTAAATTATATAAATGGTCACTGAACTTTTCAGGCACTTGCATAGGCCCCCAACTTTTAAACTTGCAACACAATCAACAATTACATTCTAAACCCTAAAATTCAAAATATTTCAACTACATTCTAAACCTCAAATTTTAAAATACTTCAATTACATGCCCAACCCCAAATTCACAATCTATTCTCAAAATATGTCATAACAAACTAGACTTGAAACAACAACCCTAAACCCTTAAAACATAATAATTTCGAAAAAAATTAACCAACTATAAGTGAATAATAAATGGTTATGTTGGGTTTATGGTTATGTTGGACCTAAATACTCAATTCAGTTTATAAAATAGTTGACTCAAAATTTTTTCGATTTGAGTTTATAAAATTTAAATCAAGTCGAATTGAATTGAATTTTCGAGTTTCTATTTAAATTTAATAATAAATATTTATCATATTATAATATTATTTGATTATAATTCAGTTCAGTTTATAAAATAGTTAACTCGAAATTTTTTCGATTTGAGTTTATAAAATTTAATTCAAGTTGAATTGAATTTTCGAGTTTCTGTTTAACTTTAATTATAAATATTTATAATACTATAATATTATTTGATTATAATTTAAATAGTTTTTAACCATATACAATACATATATTTCTTCATATTTTTTCCATATGTGATATACATATATCATACAGAGTCAAGGGACTTGACTCAAACTTAAAAATTAGTCAACTAATTACTAAAAATTTTGAGATATTCGAGTTGTATTTTACAACTCGATTTTAACTTGATTTTTTTTAAGTTGAGTTTATGAAATTACTACTCAAAGTCGATTTGTATCAAACTTTTTGAATCAATTCAAGTCGGAAAATAATTTTTCCGAATCGAATTGAATATTGTTCACTTATAGCTGGTTAAATCTAACTTTTAAATCATAAACCCAACATAATCACTTATTGTTATGGTCCCAAAATGAACTAAATGTTGTTGATTATGTTGGGTTAATTGGTAGGGAAATTTAATATTTAGGGTTATGTCTTGAGGGTTTAGGGTTTTTGCTTCAAGTTCAATTTGTTATGGAAGATTTTGAGAATGAATTATGAATTTGGGGTTAGGCATGTAATTGAAGTATTTTTGGAATTTGAGGTTTAGAATGTAATTGAAACATTTTGGAATTTGGGATTTAGAATGTAATTGATGATTGTGTTATAAGTTTTAAAAGTTGGGGACCTAAATGCAAGCGCTTGAAAATTCAGTGACAATTTATATAATTTACCCTAATGATAGTGAAACGTAGTTACGTTGGGGACCATATTGCAAACGAACTAAATGCTTGGTGACTGTATTGCAAGTTTTAAAAGTTTGGGACCTAAATGCAAGCATCTAAAAAGTTAAGTGACCATTTATATACTTTACCCTAAAATTTAATTTCATCAATTATTTTAATATTTTTTTATTAAATTGATATTTAAAACTAGTGGAATCAATCTGAAACTTGTTCTCTCTGTGAAAAGCTATAGAGGATGAGTGCAGAGAGAGACAAATGAAATAGAATAATTACAGCCCAAGCACCACGGAAGGATGAGTCAGCCAACAAAGCTAAAAAGAGAAACTTATAGGAAGCAGAAGTAAAGAGGAAGGGGTAGGTCGGCCATCTCAAACCTTCGATGTCCCCCACAGCCAACAACAGCCCCACCGGAATCAACCACTTCGGCGGCGGCGGCGGGTTCTGGTCGACTCTATCGGTGCCGCCCTTAAAAACTGCCGTCGCCGTCACCGCTGTCGCGGGCCTCGCTGTGGTTGCTGCCGTTTTCTTCTCAACTACTAGGTAAAATAGAATTTTTATAAAAGAAAGAAAACTGATCTATCATTCAATGCTTAACGGTAAAAATAATTTCCGAAAACTCTAGTAACGGTATGTAATACGACTAGTTGATATGAATCAAATTCGAATAGATGAGAGCTATTAGGCGAAGTCAGACTTCATCTTCATCTCCAATTTCTCCCTCGCCCACCTTGTCATCGTCTTCGTTGTTACTTCTTCACTAGTTTCTAGTTCTTCCTCTGGTCGGTGAGTCCTGGCCTCTTTCTTCTCCCTCTTCCCCTCAAAACACTCGTTTGTTTTCGTTGCTCTTGTTAGATTTTCGATTCCGATCCCGATCTCCTTTGTTTAAGTTCGAAACTTCCTGTTTCCTCATTTGATCTACTTATTTTTTTTCTATTTATTTAGGTTCTTACTATTTCCCTTCAAACTTCTCTTTGACTAATTAGGTTTTAAGCTTCTTTCTTAGTATTTTCAGCCATTATTGCTTGTTTATTTCAAATCCTAATGTTTTTTTTGCTTCACGTATTATTACTATTATTATTTGATCTGTGTTAGACTTGGAAACTTTATTATAACCCTTTTTGCATTATTTTCTTTTATCGATGACCAAAATTGCCTTTAGATTGCTTCAATATGCGACTTTAATGTTGCAATAATTGAATATTAACTCTCATAATCAAATGAAACAGATAGATTTTGAAAGAAAAAAAAAATAACAATCTCTATTTTATGATGCGAAATCAGATTATTTTCTCCTTTTTTCTCAATCAGCAGCTGGATAAAATTGGAAAATTAGAGGCAGACAAGAGTCACTCATGACTTGCTACTTTATTTTTTTCTTCTTTTTCCCCCTCCCAAGCAAAATAGAATTGAAATGTAAATCTTTTCCTTCTGATGGGATCCTCATTGGTGCAACCTAGTATTCTTTGCTTGAGCCAATAAAAAAGAAAAGGGTATTATTTTCTTGTGAGAATGGCATCTGCTCTAAGGCTTGATGTGGGAAGACTAGACAACCTCTTGGTATTATGATGATTTTTATTGATAAATTGGTTCCCTTGATGCTATAATTTTGTTTACTCATCTCATATTCTTGTCATATTATTATTAATTTCTCATTTTCTATTTGTAATTTGACCTTTTCTAGTGGTCGTCTCAGATCACCCTGGTCTCGTTTTAGAAAGAAACATGCCCTCACGCCTCAGCAATGGAGAAGTTTGTTTACACCTGATGGTCGACTCCAGGATGGTGGGGTCAAGTTCTTGAAGGAAGTTCGCTGCAGAGTGAGTTACTGCTAAAACTAACCTATTGGTTTTCTTTTTTATTTGTTATGTTGTAGTTGCAATGCTTAATCTTGTACACCATTGATGCAGGGTGTTGATACTAGTATTAGGGCAGAGGTCTGGCCCTTCCTCCTTGGTGTGTAAGTACGCTGAACCTCTGTTACCCTTGTTGCTACTGCTTCAATTGCTGCTTTTTTATTCCTTCAAGCGGACATCAGAGGAAGTTTCTACTTTTTTCTGTAGAATGGTTTTTTTTTCTGGGGTAGCATCTTGGCCTACTCTCAACCCGTGAGTTTTCAGTCTCATGTCATGACATTTCTATTGTTCTTTTTCTCCGTAACAGCTATGACTTAAACAGTTCCAAAGAAGAAAGAGATGCTGTTAGAATTATGAAAAGGTTAACATTCCTTTTTCTTTATGTATTTTTTACGTTGTTATTCATTGTAGCTATACCAGTAAAACGCTACCAAGGATATCCTCTTTGGTTTGCTTCTTCACCTTTTTGTCAACCTTTTGTTTCAGGAAAGAGTATGAAAAACTTCGCAGAAAGTGTCGACGGATCCTAAGACACGACAGTGAGAGTTGTAAGTTATCTGAAACTGGTGGAACTTGTCAAAATGGCGACAGCGGAAGTCTTATTCAGGAGATGGACACATCTAGCTCTGAAGATGTTGTTAGTGCCAGAGAATCTCTCTCTAGGGAGGAAAGGAACCCGGTTGCTGAGTTATCTGATGAACCTTCGAGCACATTGTTGACAAATGATGATGTGTCAACATTGAACTCGTCAGATTCCGACTCTTCAGAAGACCCCGAAGTGACTGAGGGTTCCCACTCCTTGGATGGTAGAGAGGAGAATGATCCTGACATTGCTTCAGAAAGGAATGTTCCTCTCTCTTGCACTGAAGGGATATCAAAGCTGCGTGCAACTGAAGACTTTTCCACCTGGCAGCGAATCATTCGTCTAGATGCTGTTCGTGCCAATGCTGACTGGATGCCATACTCTCCTTCTCAGGCTTCAGTATCAGATGATAGGGCACGCCATGCTGCCGAGGCTGTTGGGTTAAAGGATTATGATCAACTAGAGCCCTGCAGAATTTTCCACGCTGCACGTTTGGTTTCTATCCTCGAAGCTTACGCACTTTACGACTGTGAAATCGGCTACTGCCAGGGCATGAGTGATCTTCTTTCTCCAATAGTTTCAGTCGTCCCCGAGGATTACGAGGCATTCTGGTGTTTCGTAGGTTTCATGAAGAAAGCTCGACATAACTTTAGGCTCGACGAGGTCGGAATCAGAAGGCAACTCAATATCGTTTCCAAGATAATCAAATGCAAGGACTCTCAGCTTTACAAGCACTTGGAGAAGATGCAGGCAGAGGATTGCTTCTTCGTTTACAGGATGGTGGTGGTCCTTTTTAGGACGGAATTGACATTCGAACAGACAGTGTGCCTTTGGGAGGTAATGTGGGCGGATCAGGCAGCCATTAGAGCCGGGATTTCGAAGTCGGCGTGGAGCAGTATGAGGCAGAGGGCACCACCAACAGATGATCTGTTGCTGTATGCAATTGCAGCTTCAGTGTTGCAGAGGAGGAAATGGATCATTGAGAAGTACAGCAGCATGGATGAGATTTTGAGGGAGTGCAACAGTATGGCGGGGCAACTTGATGTATGGAAACTCCTTAACGATGCGTATGACTTGGTGGCAACTCTTTATGACAAGATCGAGTCGTCCTTTTGATCATAATTTTTGTCCTCAATTTGGTCACAGTTAATAATATTTTTTTTCACACAAATGTTGTTTAATATTTAAAACATATTTATTAATAATTTTTGTTAATATGAGTAATTATTAAACACATATATTAGATAATTAAAAGTTAAAAATAAATATATTTTCAATATTTTAATAACTACAATTTTCAAAAGTAATAATACAAATGGAATTAAAAGCTTAATAATATCATCTTTAAACAATATAAGAGTAGTAATAAATAATATAAAAAGTAATTAATTATTAATATTTATAAAAAAATTATGAATAAATATATTTTAAATATTAAATAATATTTTTATGTAAATAAAAATGAAATTATATTAATTATTTGCAAGAATTAAATTATCTTAGTGGTTAAAAGAATCATTGTTATTCTTAAATGGATGAGAGTATTTAAAACATATATCATTTTATAATCATCTTAACTTAATAAAAATAATTACATTAATTATATATTAGTTAAAGTTTAAATTATATGTAATATATTTTAAATTTTAACCCAGTCTTGACTTAAATGTTTAATCATTCTTTCCTCTCAATAATCTGAGTTTAAATCTTCAATTTATTTTCAATTTTTCATCAATAAGATAACTTTTAATAAAAAAAAATATTATTAGATTACTTGTTTCAAGTTCATTTTGTTAATAATTTAATGGTTAATACTCCTTAATTTTTTGAATCAATAATCAGTTGGTCTAGTGAAATGAGGCATTAGATCCCTTAAGCAAGATCATATGTTCGAATTTTGACATTTACGAATGGAGCAAACTGAGCTAGGAGGGTCGCATTCGCCCTCTGCAGTACCCAATCTAAATTAATCGATCAATATATTAGATACTAATTCAAAAAAAAACTCAAATTTTTATTTGTTACAATGGTAGGCAGGAGCCTAATAAGCTATATCCTTTTTAACCTCCTGTTCCACTACAACAGGTGACATTGAGTTCATGCAATCACTTGGTGAGGCTCCACGCGTACTTTGCAAGCCCATCTGTTACTTTATTGCAGTTCTTGTCTACTTTCGCAACTCTTAACTTGCCAATCTTTAGCCAGGTAATCTTCCCTATGGTCTTAGGTCGTCTTCTTTTCTTCGACTGGGATTCAACAAGCAAAACCCATGTTTCAAGCAACGATTGCAGCGACATTGATTCCAACTAAGGGTAATGATTCCAGCGATCGTTTGTTGAAATCCGGGGTGTGGATAAAAAGGTTTGGCATTAGGATTTTAGGGGGTGTTTGGTTCAAGGATTGTGGGATTCTCATCCGATTCTCATGGGATGAGAATCCCACATTCCCATGTTTGGTTGGCCGGAAATCTCATTCCCGGTAATGTTTTATTACCAATAGTAAATTTTTTGGGGTATATTACCGGGAATGTCATTACCTCCATTCTCTTATGTATTATAACATTACCAGTGTTTTGGACTAAAATGCCCTTAAATTTTTATTTTTTTTTCAAAAATATCATTCTTCTGTCATTGAATAATAAAAATTCTACGAATGTTAAATTACAAATTTATCCTTAAATTATTTTAGATTTACAAAAAAAAAAATCTATAATTAAAATTTTATATGAAGTTCAGGGGTTAAAATTTTTTTTACCCTTTCATTAAACCTATTTTATATTTTTAATTTTGTAAAAAAAATTATATAAATATTATGAATTTAATTTTTTAAAGAAAATATATAAATATTTTACAATTTGTAATATTATACAAATATATAATAAGGACAATTTGGTCAAATATACATTCAAATAATCTTTTATTCATTTAACCAAGCACAATAATCTTACATTCCTGCTAAACCAACCAAACAAAAAATACAACATTCCCAGTAATCCTATTCCCTGATAATCTTTTATTCCCACTGGTAATCTTACATTCTGTGAACCAAACGCATCCTTAGAGTTTTAAGTTTTATTTATATTTAAGAAAAAATGATTTTTTAAATAAATAAATAAATCATATATCTTTTATTTTAATTTTTTTAAATTTTTATAAATTTGACATGTCATTTAACTGTTGAATTTGACTATAGACACTTAAAAGTATAATGTTAAAAATGTTGGACTCCAATTTTAATAAAAAAATTCTTTAAACACGTAAAGTTAACTTTGATTATGTTTTGTGCACTTATCATTATATTAAATCTTAAATTTTAACAACAAAATTGAAAAATAATATTATATATAATTTTAAAAAATATTATTAATGGTTAAATAAAAATAAAATAATGAACATGTGACTAAATATACTTTTAAAAAATAATTTTGATATATAAAAGAATTGTTTAATTAGTAAATTTTATTTATTTTACTTAAAAATGTAAAGATAAAATATACAAATGGTCTCTAACTAGGTATTATTTTGTTGAGTTTCTTCATTATTAATAGAGAAAATAATTTCAGTGACCGAAATTATTTTATAATATACGATTTTAACCAACTTTTTTTTAGATTTGTAAAAATAACCAACAAAATCGCAACGCGAACTCATATTTCGCAACACAGTTTCCAAATTCGCAACGCGAACATAGAAATTTTCGCAACGTGAATTTCACAACGCTAATTACCGATATAGGTAAACACAACTATCGCAACACGAATTTCACAAATTGAATTCGTCAATTTCGCAACTCAATTACCAACGTAGGTAAACACGGTAGAAAAAAATCTGAATTCAACAATTTGAAAATTGAGTTGCGAATTTGGCAAATTCGTGTTGCGAAATGTAAAATCTCGTATTTTAAAGAAAAAATTAAATGACATAAAATGCAAAGTAGTGGTTTTCAACCTGGGACATCCCAGTTGCTAAGTCCACATATGAATCACTCAGTTAAACCTACGCCTGTAAATGAATTGAACAAACACGAATGAGGGTATGTTCATGTTCGTTCGTTCTTTCGTTTAACTTTAACCAAACAAACGAACTGTCGAAATGATTTTTTCTTTAAGAGACGAGATTTTATATTTCACAACACGAATTTGCCAAATTCGCAACTCAGTTTTTAAATTGGCGAATTCAGATTTTTGATACCGTGTTTACCTATATCGGTAATTAAGTTGCGAATTTGGCGAATTCGATTTGTGAAATTCGCGTTGCGATAGTTGTGTTTACCTATATCGGTAATTAATGTTGAGAAATTCGCGTTGCGAAAACGAAATTCGCGTTGTGAATTTAGAATCTGTGTTGCGAAATAGGAGTTCGCGTTGCGATTTTGTTGGTTATTTTTGTAAATAAAAAAAATTGGTTAAAATCGTATATTATAAAACATTTTTTGTCACTGAAATTATTTTCTCTTATTAAAAATTATAAAATAATTCTCTAACTATAGTGTGTTGTTTTGGTGAGTCTCTTGACTATAAAATTTACAAAATGGTCACTATAAATACTATATATTATAAATTCATTCTTTGTTGTTAAAAATTCAAATTTGTTTGAGCTGAACATGAACATTAGCCTACTGATTGATATATGATAAAATTTGACCTTAGAACCATTTCAACTATATAGTCGTTTAAGATATTGAGATCATATTTTATCGTATCTCAGTCAATAAGTTAACATCTAACTTAGTCTACTATCTTTTTTAAATATAAAAGGACGAATTTGAAACGTTTGAATAATCGAATGATATTTTTTTAACTTTTATTAATCGGATATTCAACAAAGCAACACTTAGAGTTGAGAGACTATTTTACCACTTTTAATAGTTTGATGACTAAACAAAACAATACTCTATAATTAGAAAATCATTTGCATACTTTACCCAAAATATAAATGTAAAATATTTCTTATATAAAATAAAAGTGGAAAACCTGTAGAGAAAACCCAGTTTGCTTGTGATTCCTTCGTCTGGAAGGAACTCACAAAAACGAAGCAGAACCAAATAAAAGATCTCTAATCTGATCTTTTTATTTTTCCTCAAGACCAAAATATTTTCTCTCTATCATTAAACCGAAAAAACCCTAATTATTCTATGCATAAATGCTATTATTACTAGGTTTTTAGAGATACTTAGAAGCAAAAGATGGGTTCTTCTTCGTCGGAGACGAAATTCCTGCAAGAACTGATTTTATACGCCACCAGCGCCGCCCCTCAGTTGCTTGGTCCTCATCGCGGGGCTCAGACACCTCGATCCGAACCGAGAAGCTTCTAAAAAGGCACAAGAGCACAAGAAGGAAATTGCCAAGCGATTGGGTCGTCCTCTAATCCATACAAATCCGTATGAGGTACTTTTATTTGGGAATTGAAGCAAAAATAAGCGAATTTTTTTTTGGTTTTGGATATATATATATTCCTTTTAAAAGTCGGCTTATTTAGGTCAAATTCTAATTTCTCTGTAAGAGAGATTAGTTTCCCTAGTATTCTGTTGACTATTTAGTGTGTTTTTCACTTGTTTTTATTACTTGCGACACTGGAATTTGTTATTCAAAACCAGAAAATTTTTGCTGTCTATTCATTAAATATTGAAAAGGGTTATTAGGGTACCAACTACAACCAGGGGAAAAGGAAGAATTTTATGTTTGGGGCAAACTTATAAAATTTTAACAGGGTACGAAAACAGATTATAAAATACAAAGAAAATATCTAAAATATACTAGAATTTGAAATTTTAAGCAGGCAACTGTCGCATCCGCCCCTTTTGGTCCATCCCTGATTACAACTGTGGTAAGATCTTAGTGAACAAAGATTTCTTCCATTTCAATGGAGAATACATTAGCCAGCCAATTTCTGATAAAATTTGCAGAACCTGAATAGCTCATGGGGCATGCCTTTTTTCAGCCTCTGTTGCAGTCATTAGCATATATCTGATTGATGTCTTCTATATGCCAGTTTTTTCATTTTTTATTGAGGTGTATAGCATTAAATATAGTATCTCAGAATGCATGCCTTTTATAATAAATTTCTAATTCATGCATGGCACCTGCAGTAATAAAAAATATTGATTGTTGGAATATTTGCTTTTAGATATTGTGTAGCAAAAGCAATGGTCCCAATTGTTAACATCTGTGGTTGCCGCATGTGTTTTAAAAAGCGCGCCTGACTGTACTTATTTCATTTTTTAACAGGATGTAATAGCTTGTGATGTGATAAATCCTGATCACATTGATGTCGAATTTGATTCTATTGGAGGATTAGAAGCCATTAAGCAGGCCCTTCATGAACTAGCGATTCTTCCATTGCGGAGACCAGAGCTGTTTTCGCATGGAAAGCTTCTTGGTCCTCAAAAAGGGGTTTTATTATATGGACCCCCAGGTACCGGAAAGACCTTGCTTGCTAAAGCCATTGCAAAGGAGTCTGGTGCAGTTTTTATTAATGTTAGGATATCAAATCTGATGAGCAAGTGGTTTGGTGATGCGCAGAAACTTGGTATGCACTGTAACTTGTAACATCTGCACTATCCTTTTAGTTAGTGATAATTTTAGATTTCTTTGACTGTACTGGAATGTATATGGTTATACAGGATTACAATTGTACTGCAATCTGTTTTCCTCTCCCCTGCACAGTTCAATTCTAGTTAAAAATGATGAGATGTTATTTAGATAGAAGGAACATTTTTAAGAGAAGGTTAACTGATTTGACCAACCTAAGGTCACGCAAAGATGGTTTTGAACCATCTCTTTTGGATGAGGCCCAAAAATGGTTTTGTAATCACAACTACTTTTTATAGATTCTCTAATGGCTGTAATATCCATGCAAGTTTGTTTATTTTATGTATCTCAGATTGAATTGTTTAGTTACTCTTGTACATTTGCAGTGGCTGCCATATTTAGCTTGGCCTATAAACTCCAGCCTTCTATTATATTTATTGACGAGGTTGACAGTTTCTTGGGCCAGCGACGTAATACAGATCATGAAGCAATGGCAAACATGAAAACTGAGTTTATGGCTTTATGGGATGGATTTACCACTGATCGTGAGTATTTTTCTATCTAAAAGGCTGTTATATAATACTATCAATTCTCCAACAAAGTGCTGTATTCTATTTGTTTTTTTGATGAAGGGCTCCCTGAAGAATGTTGTAGGTTTTCTTATTAAATTTAAAATTGATGATTATATAATGTTATGCAGAGAGTGCACGAGTTATGGTTCTTGCTGCAACAAATCGTCCATCAGAACTAGATGAAGCAATACTCAGACGTCTCCCTCAGGCATTCGAGATTGGAGTACCTGACCGCAGGGAGAGGGCTGAGATTTTGAAGGTAATTTTGAAGGGTGAGAGGGTTGAACGAAGCATTGATTTTGACTACATAGCCAGTTTGTGTGAAGGTTACACAGGTTCAGATCTTCTTGAACTCTGCAAGAAAGCAGCCTACTTTCCTATCAGAGACATACTAGATAAGGAGAAGAAAGGAAAACCATCCAGAGTAAGTATATTTCGTGTATATATGTATAAGTTCTCGCACGTCATCTCAAATGTGAGATGAGAGACCGAATCAAAGTTTTTCTTGGTCAAGTACGTGATTATAGTTGGAATGAGAGATTCCAGGAAGATCATTTTTGTTATACCTAAAGCAATTTGCATGTGGAATTGATGAGAACTTGGGTATTTTAGCTCTAGCATTTTTTTAAGCTACATTATCATTCATATCAAGGTTTTTATTCATCTTCCATTTTTTGTTTTTCAGGCTCCAAGGCCATTATCACAGAATGATTTGGAGAAAGTTCTTGACACATCAAGGAAGACTGGGGTTGCTGCAAATTAATATAGCAGTTTAAGTTCACAATTATCAGGATGGTCAAGGCGAAGTGAATCAAATGATTATCAGGTTCAAGCTGCAATTAATGAACTCTCCAAGCTTGTAGTTTCTCAAATTGTTAACCTTCAATCAGATTCCCAGGATACCTGAAGTTCTCAGTTATGTGCTCGTGTGCTGCCCCGCGATCGGGTTCTAGCTTGTGAAATGGTTTTACTCACTAAGTTTAAACTTTCCAATTGGCTTTTGGGAGCCTAGGCTCCAATTCACAGAAAATTCAAGGGTGCTTGTGGAATTTAGGAAGTGAAATATTTTAGCTGGTTTGTGTTATTTATAAACTACCCTGTTCATTCAGCTCAATTGGGATGTCATCTGGTGGATCACTTTTTGAGACTGATCTAGTTATTGAGATCTCTATTATCCTATGTGTCATAACCATTTTTAGAAAAAATGATTAATTATTATTTTAAAAAGCGATTATGACTTTTATTTTGAAAAATTGGGTGATTTGGAATTGATTTGAATGAAATTGAATAGGAGTCGCCATCGATCTTTAGGTTAGGTAGGTCGAATATCTAAAAACGTTATTTAAATTTTTTTTAAGAAAAATCATTTTTTAAGACGAAAACTGGTTTGTGTTTACCGAAGATTTGATTTAAAATGGTTTTAGGAGTCGGTTATGCGTGGGAAATGATAAGTATTATCGCAACGCTCAAAATTGGTACTGTGTCATTTACTTATCATTATAAAATAACCCGCAAAAGGGATTAAAACAAAACAATAAAAAATTTAAAGGATCAAAATATGATTAACATAAACTTGAGTACTAAAATAAAAATATAAATAAACCAGATCCACAATCACCAAACAACAAATAATATAAATATCAGAAATGGAAATATCCCAAAAATAATTTTCATGGACTAAAATAAACTAAATCAGAAACATAGAGGAGCAAATAGCAATTAGTCATAAATACAACAAATATTAAACAGTGAACAAAATGAAACATGCATAAATTATGCGATCATATTTGAATATCAGTAAAAACACAACACATAAAATCATTGACTAAAATGAAAACTTTAAAAATTATGTGCATAAAGTAAAATATTAACATACACATATTTAACATTAAAGCTAGGACGAAAATACAAAGAAAAAAAACATGAGGCTCGAAGTCAAAGAGTTCAAAATTTCATTAATGACCAGTTACAGAACATTACAAACGTGGGGACTTAAACTGCAATTACCCCACGCTGAAACTCACAGGCCCCAGACCCTTAAACGATGTCGTTTTGTGCACACCATATATACCTAAAACATAAGTCAAATCACGCCATCCCCTCATTTTTGTTTCTATTTTTTTCCTCGAGAGAAAACTCCCTCAATTATTTCTTCCCAGCCCTCCGCCGAAGAAGAACCCAAAGCACTACGACCTTCGTAAGTCGGTGGCCATGGGGAGTGAGCATCTCCAAAATAACCCCTCTTTACTCTTCCTCTCTGTCTCTATCTAAAAAACCCACAAATCGAGCCCCCAAAACCACAACCAGCTTTTAAAAAACAAGCCTTTACCTTTGAAAACAAAGGGTCCTCGGTCTGATGAAGCAATGACGTTCGGATCTTGTCACCAGGGAAAGTTTCCTTCTTTCTTTCGAATAGGTTTTTTTTTTCTCTTCGAATGCTCCCACCCTCGTCTCTCTCTATCTTATTCTTTCTTCCCGAATGGTTGTTGCATGTGTTTTAATGTTGCCTTTTGGTTGAGATGATGATGTCTAAGAATAGGGGGAATGAGTTTATGATTTTAGGTCAAAATCTCAAATTTTAGGGATTTATTGGTATTTTAATTTAGGGTTTGGATTTGGTATTGTTTTCTCTGATTTTCTCTGTTGGAAGGCTATTGTGGATGACAACATCAACAACAGGATGATCGGCAGCAACAAAAGTGACTGCGGAGGTTCCCGGTGAGGTGCACGCGCTGGTGGAAGTTGAATCATTGTGCGCGTGTGGTACACGCGCCGGTGATGGGCGAATCATCTTTAGCAAACGACGATGGTTACTGTTGAGATGATATTTAGGGCTTAGAAACCCTAATTCAGATAGTTTAAATCCAGGTCGGATCTAGAACTAGGCCTCGAGTCTGGATTCGAGTTTGTTGGGTAGTCGGATCTGGGCTTGTGATCTGCTGGGCCCAATCTTGAATGTTGGGCTATTGTAAGCTGGACTTGGGTTGGTGTTGTCTGGGATCTGGGTAAGGTTGGGCCGGATTGGTTTGGGCTTCGGGTTGTACTGGGCTTTGGCCTACAAAATGTAACATAATAATTAATAATAATATATAATATATAATAATAATGATAATAATAATAATAAAATAAAAAATAAAAAAAGACCCGGACAAAAACAAGTGTCTACAGTTTTCTCTCTTTGCACATACTTGTGTTAACAAGAATAGGGCAAAGATGACAAGACAACACGTTTTTGTCTGGTTCTTTTTTTGTTTAAAATTTGATGTGTTTGTTGGTGGGATGACACGGCTCATACGCGATGAAAAGGTCTGGTCGTCTAAGGGTGACACGGCTCCTACGTGATGAGGAGATCTGGTCGATGGATGACTCGACTCATACGTGATGAATAGTTTTGGTCATCTTTATTGATAAGGTAGATAACACGGTTCCTACGTGATGAGGACCGATGGTTATCTAAGGGTGACACGACTCCTACGTGATGAGGAGGTCTGGTCGGGGGATGACATGGTTCCTACGCGATGAGGACGACAGACCATCTTTATGAGGGTGATAACACGGTTCCTACGTGATGAGGGTAACAGGCTGTCTAGGGTTGACACGGCTCCTACGTGATGAGGAGGTCTGGTCGGGGGATGACACGACTCATACGTGATGAAGAGTTCTGGCCATCTTTAGGAATGATAACATGGTTCCTACGTGATGAGGACAACTGGTTATCAGAGGTGACACAACTCCTACGTGATGAGGAGGTCTGGTCGGGGGATGGCACAACTCATACATAATGAAGAGTTCTGGCCATCTTTAGGGAGGGTGATAACACGGTTCCTACGCGATGAGGACGGTTGGTTATCTATGGGTGACATGGCTTCTACATGATAAGGAGATCTGGTCGGGGGATGACACGGTTCCTACGCAATGAGGATGATATGCCATCTTTAGGGATAATGGTTTTAAGGGAAACCGACTCATAGATGATGCTTTAAGAGAAGCTGTCTCAAGAGAGACAAAATTCGTTTCAAGGAAATGACTCAAAGATGATTGTTTTGTTTCAAGGGAAACAGACTCACAAATGGTAAATTGTGTTTCCAAAGAAATAGACTCAAAGATTTTTATTTCAAAAGAAACGACTCAAAGATTTTTCTCACGAAAAACTGTCTCAAGAGAGACAAAGTTTTGTTTCAAAATAAATAGACTCAAAGATCTTTTGTTTCAAAAGAAACGACTCAAAGATGATGGTTTGTTTCCAGTGAAACAAATTCATAATTTGGAAAATTATCTCAAGTGAGACAACATTTTTTTTAGAGAAATTGTCACAAGCGAGACAAAATTTGTTTTTAGAGAAATTGTCTCAAGCTAGACAAAGTTTGTTTTTGAGAAAACGATCTTAAGTGAGATCAACTTTGTTTAATGTGAAACAAATTTGAAATTTATATCTCAAAGGAAAAATATCTCAAGCGAGACGAAATTTGTTTTGAAAGAAATTGTCTCAAGCGAGACGAAATTTGTTTTGAAAGAAATTGTCTCAAACGAGACATAATTTGTTTTTAGAAAACTGTCTCAAGCGAGACAAAATTTGTTTTTCAAAAGAAGTTGTCTCTAGGGAGATGACATTTTCTTTCGAGAGAAACAACATCAAATGATACTGATAATATGCTTGTTCTTGCTGGTGGAGGAAAGACTTTCAGAAGATCTGATCATTCACATTAGGATGTTGAATCCCTAAAGATTCTCCAATATTCGATGTTGATTGCTTCAAATATGCCCCAATATTCAATATTGATTACTTCATCACTGATTCTAAGCATGAGCTTCGTGTCTGAGAGCCACATATCAGCTACCAAGATGTACTCCAGAGAAATTGTCTTGTTTGAAAAACATTTTTTCTTCTTCTTGTATTTTCAAAAGTATGAAAATATCAATTAAAAGAGTTTTGAAAAATATTTAATCAAAAGTTTGAAAATATTGCCCCTTTCGAGGTTTCACAATTGACAACTCATAAAACAATATCAAAGAATTAATTACACTTTTAATCCTTTAATAAATTATTGTTACTTGACAAGTGTCAAGATTATTGCTATCTTTGAGGTATGGTTAAGTAAGGAAAGGATAAAAATAGTCTCAAGCTGTTATTTTTGGTCAATGGTTTGGCCTGCTTATTTCTTTGGTGTTCAATGATCTAATCAAGGCATGCCCATCTTTATGGGTTTGACATTTTGATCAGAGGCGGACAAAATGACGCAACTAGCATAGTCAATTGCTAGACCTTTTAGAACACTTTTGCTTCAGTTCTCTGAAATCTTCCCTTTGTTCAAGCCTCGTAGACTCCTCTAGCTAAGGTAGTGCAGAAATATCGATCTTAAAAATGAGATTTCTTAGTGCTTGTGTGAAGTTGACTATAACAGGTGTTCCTCAACTCCCTTAGTCCATATTCACCGAAACTCTTTATTTAATAAATTTGATTTAATTTGCCAATGTTTGGCTAGCTGAATTCAGCTTTATTGTACATATATTTTATAATTTCCTTTATCAGGCTACCTGAATGATTCATGTCGTCACAAAGTCTTCGACTTGACAACCACAGTGAAGCATACACCGGATTGCCAAGTACTCGATCGATGTCATGGTTTGAATGTAATCTATTCATAAAGCCATGATTTTCGAGTTTCCTTTATAACCAATTGCTTTAGCGGAATAGCTCAGCTTTATTGTATACTATGCACACACACACACACACACACACACACACACACACACACACACACACACACACACACACACACACACACACACACACACACACACACACACACACACACACACACACACACACACACAATATGTTGGGTATACGGATTCCATTTCTTAAGATCGCTGAGGAAAACCTGTTATAGTCTCGGTGTTTGTTGAAGGTAAGAAAATCTCACCATTAGAGTTTGATTCCTAAGCAACTGACCTAAACTAGATTCACCTGCTTGACCATTCCATCTAAGAAGATTATGATCATCATTGAACTTCATCAATAGAAGTAGAAACCAATTAGTTTTGCAATATCATGTGCTAGTTGCCCATTTTGTCCACTACTAACACATACTTAAATGCCAAGATGATTGATTGTACATGCGAGGAAAGAGCTAACTTGGTTTCTTCAAGAGAAGGGTATATAGTCTGGTGTACACTTAGATTAGGATTAAGGGGTCCTTGTTTTGCTGGGGTTTAATCTTGTCATTTGTCAAAGATTTACAACCTCAATTATTAAAAAGCTTTTAATTAAAATGATATTCAAATAATTTCAAGATTGAAATTTGCTCATTGTTTATTTCCTAAAAATGAAGCATTTTATTGGAAATGTTCGAATGTCAAGTGACTTACAAACATTTACACATAGATAGAAAAACAAGTTCAAACAAGATGACATGTATGAGAATGCAACAAAACTCTTGATAGATGCCCCAGCCGACTCCTGATCAGAATGCCCCCATCATACATTGAACGTCAATGCCCCCTGAATTGATCAGATCTTGGACCTTGCGCTTCAATGCCCCACAATTCTCAGTGGTGTGCCATGAGCTCTCAATATGATAGCTGCATATGGCGTTAATATCATGGCCTTCAGGATATGAGGCTTCTCTTGGTTTGGATTGAATTGGAGTCACAAGGTTCTTCTCAATTAGCGTTGGGAGCAATTCCTCATATGTCATCGAAATTGGACTGATGCAAGATGCCTCACATTGCTTATTATGGTAGGAATGTTCATGTTTAAGTGAACATCTTGTACTAAATGTCTTAGGTTTTATTGGTAGAAAAGTGTTGGTTTTACGTCTAAGAAGACGATGGTATGACTTTATTGGCTCAATAAAAGGTATTTGTATGACTTTTGGGTCTCAAAAAAAGATAAAGGTAATATTTCAAAGTCTCAAAGATGGATAATGTCAAAATTTGGTCTTTGGTAGTACTCATGAATTATTTCGGGTAAAGAACCAAGAGATTTTATTTCTAGGGTTTTAGCAGGATAAGAAAGGTATAATCTCTCCATATGTCAAAAATCTATAAATCTTGAAGAAGTAAAAGAATTTGTAATTCATTTGATATTATAAGAACTAAAAATTAAAACTCGTTCAATTATTTAACCTTAGAAGGTAGCATAAATTCAGTCATCAAAGATTAAACAAATATAAAAGAAAGAATAAAACCGAGTTCAAACAAAATAATCTCTCTTAATGCAATGTGTTAGATGCAATTCCCCCATCATTCTTCGGTTGTCCATGCCCTTGAATCCATCAGGTTCTGGATCTTGTGCTTCAATGCCTTACAATTTTTAGGGGAATGTCTGGAGCTTCTTATGTTGTAGTTGAATATGATATCAACATCATAGACCTCAGGGAACTGGGACTCTTTATTCAGATCATCTTGGAAGGCTTAACCATACAACTAGCTGAACAAGCTCCCACCATATTGATTTCAACTTCTTCTTTTAATTGTCAATGTAGTTAGGACCACTTCATCAAATCCTCCATGGATTAATTCCATGTTTTTATGAATGATGCATGTGAAAATGCTTAAAAATGAAATACATATGCAAAATGCAAATGTTGATCCCAACGATGAATATCTTAGAATAATTTTCACCATAAATAAAAGCCTTCACATTACAAGACAATCCACTTTACAAACATGCCTTTGCTTAGGTGGTTAAGTCTGAAGTGGATCACTATTTCGTCTCGGATCTTCGTCCTCGAAAATTATGCCCCTCAAGCATTCTGTAACCTAACTCTATTAATGCCCCGGCGGTGCTGAAGCTAGTGCGTCACTCCTTGATGGTTAGTGATGGAATGATCGTAGATAAAAATCTACTGTTGGGTTACTCCTCGGATTAGTGGATCATCATTTTAGTCTCGAATGCTACACGATCTTCGAGCAAGTCTTATTCTGGTACTCTGAACTTCTTTTAGCCCTCGGCGTATGTTTGTGTACGCGACTGCTTGATTGAAAACTTTCACCACTTCTTGTGAAATTTCTCTCTTGAATATCCCCTTGCTGATCAACATTGTTGCATTATGTTATGACGATGAGATGCAATGCAAAAATGACACAAACAACGGAGAATAAATAAGTTAGTGCATACAAAGAAAAAGAAAAGAAATTAGTTAATACAAGTAAGACAATCGATACATATAAAAATGTTATTCAAAGATGAATATAACACCTACCTCGTCATGATATCTACCCGAACATGCTTTAATTTAATAACATTCCTACCAGGACATGCTATCTACCCAAAATGATTTTTCACGAAATTAATCCTAACAGCATTATATCTAGTTCACATGCTTTTATTCAACAGATTTAAAGCAAAAAAGGAAAGGTTTTGAAATGCTCTTTATTTGTGTACACGTAATTTGGGTACCTACTGACGGACAGAGGTTCAGTATGACTATACATAGGGTGACTGTTCTACGGTTCACTATATGTATGGTTTCGGCTCTAATAGAAAAAAGGTACTCGAATTGTCCTTGATGTCGGTGCCCCCTTGGACTGCTGAACCCTCGATCCTTACCCATTACAGGTTTTGAATGGAACGAGTTCAATTCGAGGGGATTCATTGCCTTATACCCATACGAGGAATAAATCCCTACGAAGGTATAAAGTATGTATCCCATGGGTTATTTGCTAAAACTCATACGAAGAATAAATTCTTACGAGAGTAAAGCATTCATCCCGACTAACTTGGATCGAAGCTCATGACTAGAGCTTATGTTATGCGAATGCACGTGATGTGTGTGAGGAGGAACGTACATACCTTTGACTAAAAAACGAAAAAGAAAACTCTCGAGAGAGACTTGAATAGAGCTGAAAACAAAAATTGAAAAGTTAGTACGATAATAAAAAATGAAGCAATTAAAAACTTCAATAAATGGATCATAAGTTAACTAAAGACTCGTATTAATAATTTCCACCCAGACGACAATGTGTAAGTGACTTACAACCCGACTCTTTAAAACAAAGTCCCCAACGGAGTCGCCAAGTTGTCATAATCATTTTTAGAAAAAACAATTAATTACAATTTTGAAAAATGATTATGACTTTTATTTTGAAAAATTTGTGATTTGGAATTGATTTGAATGAAATTGAATAGGAGTCATTATCGACCTTTTGGTTAGGTAGGTCGAATACCTAAA